TTCTCGAGTTGACCATTTCTTTGTCAAGTCATCCGGTGTATTTTCGGTAATTTTTAATTTTTTAAAAATAACAAATTTATTAAAATAATATTAAAAATATTATATTAATTTATATTTAATTCAAATTTTAAAAAATTAAAATTTCAAAAATTGACCTTATTCTTTTTCTCCATTTTCCCCCGGTCAAATACTTTCCAATTTCCAAACCCCCTCATGGATGTGGAGAAAAAAGTTAAAGAATAAGGTCAATAATAAGAACCAGGATGTGGGGCCCAACGGATAAAAAATTAGATTTTGGATTTTTTTGTTTTTGATTTTTTATATTTTGTAATTAATTATGAATGATTAATATGATTAGTATAACTTTCATCGATTTTTTTAATATATTTTTGAAAAATAGACATTACCGAAAATACCCCTAATGATTTGACCAAGATATGGTGAACCTTATAACGACCAAATGTAAAGTGTCAAAGAAAAGTAAAAAAGTACTAAATTAGTGTAAAAGACAAATGTAGTGGACGAAATGAGTGAATATTTTAATGTAATGACTAAATTAAGGTTTTTAGCAAATATAAAGCATCATTTGAGCAGTTTGCAATTGATAGAAATTTGTTGAACTCAATCCAAATGCTCCTTTCAAAATTTAAGAGCTTAAAGATATTCAGAATCTAAAGCAACACGCTTAGAGAAATTTCTTTAAATTCGGCAACTTTCAAGTGAAATTCAAAATCCATGCACCTCAATTTTATTATAAGTTTTACTAGTGATGTCTGGTCGTGCAATGCGTGACCCTGGTCCAGTCTATCTGTAGATCTTAGAAATATTTATATTTGAAAAAAATAAAATTTTGTATTTGGAGCGATATATTTTAGAAATGTTTGAAGGATTTAGAAATGTTTTATAAGTGTGATCATAGAAATATTTGTATTTCGCAAAAAAAAAAAATAAATTGTATTTCGCCATGTATGTTTTAGAAATGTTTTATAAGTGTTACTTATTAAATATAAATAGCTTAATCGAATATATGTGTTGAAGTAAATGTTAGATAAAATATAAAAGCATCCTAATAAATTTAAATATTAGTAAGATGATTTATTGACGTTCTCCATTGGTCGTGCCAAATCAATACTTAGTTTTGGAGATTTTTAATAGCTTTGTAATAGGTTTCATCCGAAGGGTATACGCTTAAAACAAAATTGACACTTTGTAACAAAAAATCTAATTGATCAATTCAATTTAAAAAACCACTCTAGTTGAATGAAACATAAAGACAAAATTAAAAAAAAAACGTGTCATGTAAAATGCAAAGGGAGATTTAGTAATTTAGTTATGGTTAGACAAAAGAGCAATTTAGTATTTTCTACATGCCACGTGGCAATCATATGAGGTGTTTGAAAGGGAGGTTTTTGTTTCTAATATAGTAGGGTTTGGGGCTTCGTGAATAAGGGCTGCTACCTTTGGCTTTTATGAACTTTACAATAATAAAATCGGATACAAGGACCAATTTTGTGAAGTTGTTTGAAAGTTTCAATCATATTCAATCGGTGAAATTGCACAATCTTCAGTCTCAGTACGTGAAGCACTTAATGATTGACGTGGGATGCTTCTCATAATAATTGATACATACCAATCAAAGCGGAGATCCGTCCTTCGGACAATGATAGAAAAGGATTGGAGTCGAAAAGTAGTTTCTTGGCAATGCCTCGACGGTGCAAAATGGCACACTGATTATAGTTTTATTTATTTATTTTTTCGGTAATAGTATTTAAATAATATTAGAATAAATTTCGAAACTCAAGATGAACTATAATTTTTACAGCAGAGTGAACAAAATTTTTGTTGACAAATTAATAAAAACCGTATTGACAGTTTGACACCAACAAAAAATGCAAATTATGAATTGTTGGAAATGTTAATATAAATGTGAAATTAAAGTTAGTGTTGTTACTAGGATTTTGGCAAATTACTTGTTTAATTAGTTATTTTCCTGTTTAGATGCAATTATTAGATCTTGATAGTGAATAACCAAATCCTTGTTGTGTTAGGGTTATTGTCGAGTTCATTATAGAAAGAACGAAGATTGGTGCTCACATGTCAATGGAGACGCAGCAATAAAGTAGAGTAAAAGAGAGAAATGTGTCCATTGAGAATCATCCTAATATTGCTCTCTGCAACTCTTGCCGGATTCCTCGTCGTGAGAAAGCTCAAATCTCAATCCATCAATGAGATCAATGGCCGTCACTGCCACCACCAGATTGACGTCAAGACCAATAAAAACAATCGAACAACGGAATTTTCGAATTGATATGGCAAACGGGAAATATTTGTGGAGGAATGTGGTTGGGTCCGAGTGTTCTTCGTCAACTACAATAACGACCCGCTGAATATTGATTGCTTACTCGGAGCTTTTGATGTTCAAAAGGGTGGTCGAAGGGGTTAATTAACAAGTTTGTAGAGTTTAAAACCAACGTTAATTGTGTCATTTTTCGTTTATCAATTGTCGACCTTAGAAAGTGCCGTACTACTGTGTTTGCTATTTTATTGAGTGAGTCGCATATCACCAATATTTTTGCTTCAGATTCCTCTTGTGAGCAGTTTTATTACTTGTTTTTTTTTTATTTTTTTTTTATTTTTATCGTTTTCAAAAGGAATCAAGAGTAATTCTACACTTGCCTTTTGGTTGACTCTGTCATAATGTTTTTTTCCAAGAACTTTTTTGATGATGTTGTGGAACTTAATATCTACAGGTTGCCCCAAACGACCCGAGGCTAAATGTATACATAGTATGTCTCTATCTTTCATTAATTTTTTTTAATTTTTTTTTGAGGAATAACCCTATCGTTTATTACCTTCAGTCATACAAATGAGGAATTGCCTTGAAGCAAAGAAGATGGAGGAGTTGCCTCAAGAACTTAGGCAACTTATTATGTAGTTCATGGATTATGCGGACATGATTCGCACGTCTTCCCTATCTAAGGCTCTGTTTGATAATCACTTAATATAGTGACTGAATTTATTTAAGTACTTAATGAAATTAAGTATGTTTGATAATCGCTACTAAAAAGTCTTAATGAATTAAATTCTGAACTAATTAAGTACTTATTAATTAAATGCGTTTGATAACTAAAATTTCACTATCTGAATTAATTAAGTGTATCTGAATGGTCAGTTCAATTGAGAGCCAAAAAATAAGTGATAGGCCTACCACTTATCACTTATCACTTAACGCTCAATTTCTGTATTGATTGATTTTTTTTCCTTTTTCCACTCGTCTTTATTTCAACGCTTATTTTTACATTGTTTTAAAATTTTTATTTTCTTAGGATAAATTTATTAAGAGTGCTTAAATTTGAATTTATATTATGAGCATAAAAAATCTCAAACTTTCAAACTGAAATTAAACTAATTTTAATACATAAAATTTTCTAAATAACAAGATATATATATATATATATCTTGTTATTTAGCAAGTGTAATATCTACTTTCAGTATATACACCAAAAATTTATTTTAAAATTATTATTTTATTATTTAAAACAAAATATTAGTTATTTTTCTATTTAAAAGAATTTTGTTTATAATTCAATTTTAATGATATTAAAAATTTAAATAATTTTCAAACCTGAGTATTCAGATTCAGTCTTCAGACTTCAGTGTTAAGTGTTAAGTATTCAGATTCAGATTTCAGTGATTATCAAACGGAGCCTAAGTCTTGGAGGGATGCATCCTCCACTTTATCATCCATGAATTTGTCTAATGATAGTACTTGTGCATGGTGGCAAAACGGTGAGATCCATCTTATCTTCCTCGTGTTGATTGCTTTATTTCTGAACTCCAAGGACAGAATTTATACATGCGAAAGTTACGCTTGAGTTGAAAAGGCTTAGATGTGGTATCCTGCAAGAATTAGAAAAGAGCTGAATTGTTTTGTATAAAAGGTGATATCGAGTTATTTGAGTCAATACAAGAACATCTCTTGAGACTGGAATCTTAAACACCTTGAAGTATTCAAGTAAACATGGATTCGTTGCAATTATGAGAAGTCAAAGTGTATGAGAATTTCAAGCTACTCCCTTAAGGAATTGTGGCTTCATTTTGTCCACATTCGAGTGGATGTTCAAGTTGATGCACCTCAATATCTCAGTTTCGTTATTCAGGTTTCACATCATCAAATTATGTCATTTGAAGCTTCATTAGTTAAGAATATTAATTCTCTTGGTCAATTGTGAGTTGTGACGAAAGCGTGATACGACAACATCAACGCATGCCCTTCCTCAGAAAGTTTATTAATCGTTTGGAGTCGGTTAAATTTTATAGTTTTGCGCGGTGATGCTTCATAACTACAAATTACAAAACAAAGACATTGTGACCGTGATCCGCCGCTTTGGATTATCAAGCACTCAACTATAGGTGGTGATTTTTCTTTTCCAAGGTCAAATGATAGTTGCAGTTTCATACCTATTAATTTGGCAGTGTTAGAGGGTCTGCTTTGGATGGCTTCTCAATTGCATACTTTTTCCTTTGATGATCCCGATTGCACTGTAACATTTCAATTTATATATGAGAACGTGGTCCCTTTTGTATCAGCTGGTTTAAAGAATTAATATTAATATGTTTAAAGTCGAAGTTGAGGAGGTTCCAGGTGACAATGCAAGATCAGGGTTGAAGAAGTATTTCTTTTCCGGTGATTTGGACTGCTTTTTCCCGGGCAAAGTTGAAACATTAGAAGCTTTGGGGTGTTGGAAGAGTCAAAGTCTCAACTTAAATCATTGATCGTTGCTTAAGGCAATGATCATTTTCATCTTTTAAGCGTTTTGTTTTCCTTCTATTTTATCTTTTACTAGGGTGTTACGAACTTTATTCCTGTCTCTTTCTTTCTGCTCTCGGCGCATGATACGCCTCAGGGCTAAAGTGCACCTGCCATGGCGAAGGGAAAAGCAAGGGCCAGGAAAGGCATCAAAGGTACAGAAATTGAATGCGGAGAAGGGAATCAAGCGATGAAACAGAAGGATGTGGGGGAACAAGCAATGGAGAAAATAGATCTGAAAGAAAAGCCTAGGTCAACGGGAAAGCAACAGCTGAATACCCAGGGGGAATTAGATGAGATCCAGGTCAGAGAACAGCACACTCAAGGCCGCAGTGAATTATTGGAGGTAAACATGGCCAGGAAACTAGAATGGTCATCGGATTTAGAGGAGGAGGTGAAGAAGCCACAGAACGCGTGGGAGACATTCGATATGAAGAAACTGAGGAAGGCGGCGGTACCACTGGATTTCATCCCACCGGAGGTACAAGGGGGGACTAAAGTTGCGATTGTTCAGAAGCCAGACATCGCCCCAGAAGCGGAGTACTAGAAATCGTCGATCATAAGTTTCGTCTTGGGGGCCAACCCACCTTTTAAGGTTATGGATAGCTTTTACCAAAGAATCTGGAAGAATTTGGGAATTGATAAGGTGGTGATGCTACCAAATGGGCTCTTTGTAGTTCGGTTTCATAATATGGAGGGTGTTGAGGAGGCACTGACAGAACCAATTCGCTACCTGGGCTCGAATCCGGTGGTAATCAAACGATGGAGTGTGGAAAAAGGGGCTAACCACAAGGAAATTACACATGTTCCAGTCTGGATCCAACTACACAGCTTGGAGCTCAAATACTGGAATCCAGCCACCCTTAGCAGAATTGCAAGTACGCTGGGAAGACCAATTGCAGCGGATGATACGACAGTAGCCAAGGATAGGGCCACATTTGGGAGAGTACTGGTTGATGTCGAAATTCAAGAATCCCCACCGTTGGTTGCACATTTTGCAGATGAAGAAGGTAGAATAGTGGAATAACTAGTCTATTATGAGTGGGCGACTCACTCAATGCAAGCATTGCTTGAACTTTGGGCATGGGGAAGAACACTGTAGAAAGAAAGTGGAAAGACAAGCAGTCCAGAAGACAGATGAGACTAAGGGAGAAAAGAATAATACAAAGAGCTTTGAATGGAGGAGGGTTGGTAAGAAGAAGATAAATATGGAAGTACCGGAGGAAGAAGTCAATGCTATAGCAACATCACAAGAGGCTACAATTGGTAGGCAGCACCGGAAGGAACCAGATGGAAAAAAGCCTGAGAAAACCAATGGGTTTGATGTTCTGTCACAGTTAGATGGACATGATTGGAACAAGGAAAAACCGGAGACAAGCAAGAACTAGGAATCAGGGGCGAAGGAGCATGGTGATAGCGGAACCCCCCTTGACCCAGGTATCCATGTCTAATTTCCTACATTGGAACATAAGAGGGCTTAACAGCCCTATAAAACAAAAAGAGATATTTCAAACATGTAGTCTGTATAAAATTATATTGCTGAATGTAGTAGAAACGAAGATGAAAGTAAGTAGAATAGAAGATATGATGAGAACGTATTGACATGGATATAAATTTGTAGCAAATGATGAGTTCAATGAAAAGGTGAGGATTTGTGTAATATGGGATTCTAGCCTCATTAATGTAACAGTAGTTAAGAAACATGAACAATTTATTCACTGCTGGGTAGAGGTTATTAGAAATAGTATGGGTTTCTTTTGCACCATGGTGTATGGCTCCAATCATAGCATGGAAAGGGATGATATGTGGGAGGAACTAATAGGAATGGCTCCTAGTATTAATGAAGCATGGCTGGCCATAGGGGACTACAACAACATATTGGTGATAGAAGATAGACTTGGCAGGAACCCGGTAAATCTGGCAGATGTACAGGGTATGAGGAGATGTATAGAGGAATGCAGTATGCAGGAAATGAAGCAACAAGGATTTAAGTTCACATGGTCGAATCAGCAAATTGGCGATGCAAGAATATGGTCGAGAATCGATAAAATATTAATTAATGGGGACTGGATCATGAAGTTTCCCAACTCAATAGCTACGTTGATGGGGGAGGGGATCTCTGACCACAACCCAATTCTGGTCCAGCTGGATGATACAAGAAGAGTCCAACCTCGTCCTTTCAAAATTTTTAACATGTGGCTCCAAGATGAGGAATTTCGGGCAGTGGTACAGGAAAGTTGGCAAACTCCAATCAGAGGCACCAAGATGTTTAGGGTTTAGGGTTTAGGGTTGAAAAAGCTAAAAGGCCCCCTGAAAGTTCTTAACAGAGGTAAATTCAGTAATATCCAATGCAAGCTCACCTGGTGGCAGACGAGTTGTATTAGATCCAGGAGCAGATACAATCCAACCCAGTAGATGAGCAACTGCATCAGAAGGAAAAGGAATACAAGGAGGAAATATGTTCATATGCAGAAGGCAGCCGAGATTTTCCTATGTCAGAAAGTAAAAGAAACTTGGGTGAAACTTGGAGACTCCAACAGTGCATACTTCCATGCGAGACTGAAGATTCGAAGTATGCAAAATCGAATTTGTTCCATCATGGAAGGAGAAGAACTGGTGACTGATTGGGACAGGTTCCGAAAACACTTTGTGGAATTCTTCCAACGCCAACTAGGGCAATGTAGCAATCGGGAAGCATCACAAGAACATGTATATCGCAAAGGATCGACCCTCAGCTGGCAACATCAAATGGACCTTTTGCATCCAATCTTAGGGAAGGAAGTTAAAACATCCATGTGGAAGATTGTTAGTTCCAAGAGCCCAGTTCCGGATGGCTATGGAAGTGGGTTTTATAAAGGAGCATGGTCGATAGTAAAAAAAGAGGTAACTGAGGCTGTGTTAGAGTTTTTTGAAACAGGGAAGATATTGAAGCAGCTCAACTCAACAGTTTTAGCTCTAGTACCGAAAAATGATAATCCACAGGATGCATCGGAGTACAGACCAATTGCTTGTTGCAATGTGGTGTACAACTGTATCTCCAAAATATTGTGCGAAAGACTGAAAGAGGTGTTACCATGGCTGGTGGACACAAACCAAAGTGCTTTCATCAGTCAGAGGCTTATTCTACACAACATGCTCATAACCCAGGAGCTCATTCGACTATATGGAAGGAAGAACATCAGTGGATGTTGCCTAATGAAGATTGACCTGAGGAAAGCATAGGACTCGATAGAATGGGATTTCATCAAAGAAATGCTGTATGGGTATGGATTCCCTAAATTATTTTCAGACGAGGTGATGGAATGTGTAACAACCACAACCTTTACGGTGAATCTCAATGGAGAACTCTGTGGCTTCTTTGAAGGAAGGAGAGGATTATGTCAAGGAGACCCCTTGTCACCACTGCTGTTCGTATTAGCAATGGAATACTTGACAAGATTGTTGAGGGAAGCTGCGGAGGACGACAGATTTCAGTTCCACCCACTATGTAAACACATGAAACTGACCAACATATGTTTCGCTGACGATTTGATGGTTTTCTGCAAGACAGATCCATACACAATTCAGAAGCTGGTAGAAGTACTGAGGAAGTTCTTTGCAACCATGGGGCTAGTAGCTAACTCATCAAAATCAGACATTTATTTTGGGGGAGTAGCAGAAGATCTGAGGAAGCAGCTGTGTTAAAAAATGACAGGGTTTAGGGAAGAAAAATTCCCAATGAAATACTTGGGGGTTCCACTTTCCCCTAAAAAATGGAACCAGATGGATTGTGAAATTCTGGTACAGAAGATGTCAGCAAAGATATGATGCTGGAGTACTAGACATCTGAGTTATGCTGGAAGGTTGCAGCTTGTAAACTCAGTGCTGATGGTGATGAAGAATTATTGGGCTTCAGCTTTTATACTTCCTCAAAGTATCACTCAACATATCAACAGGATTTATAGAACTTTCTTATGGGGGATCAAGGAAAATGGACAAAGTATGGCATTGGTGAGCTGAGATCAAGTCTGCAAATCCAAGAAGGGGGTGGACTAAATGTAAAAGATGCACAAATGTGGAATGATGTTGCACTGGTAAAGCAGATTTGGGACTTGGCTTGTAGGAAAGAAAACTTATGGATAAAGTGGATCCATGAGGTGTATATAAAGAATAAGGATTTTTGGGAATTGCAACCTGCTCAAGATGCCTGCTGGCATTGGAAGAGAATTCTGAAACTGAAGGATAGGGTTAAAACAGAATTTGTGGAGAACAAATGGAAGCACACTAGCACTGGAAAATACACCTTCAGCTCGGGATACAAATGGATGATGGCGGAAAGTGAAGATTTCTAAGCTGCTACATTCATTTGGTCTAGGTATAATGTGCCTAAACACTCATTCATCTTGTGGCTTTTTTGGAAAAACAGGCTTTTGACAAAAGCCAGAATGGAGAGATTGAATATTCATATTGATGATAATATATGTGTTCTGTCAAAAAGTTCAGGAGACATCTAAGCACTTGTTTTTTGAGTGTTGTTTTACCAATGAAATTCTGGTAGAACTAGCACAATGGTTAAGAGTACATAAAGTATCATGTAGACAGGATGTTTGTAGAGGCATAGTGATGAATGTATGGCAGCGCACGAAGATGAGACGAAACATTTGGTTTGCAGTAATGGCAGCAAGTATCTACCATATATGGGAGGAAAGGAATGGGAGAGTGTTTACTGATAAAAAGAGAACTGTGGAGCAAATAGTGCAGCTAGTAAAACAGGAGGTTTACTGTCGAACAGAGCAGTGCTTGATGAGAAGAAAGACACCCAGTGAGATATATTTTTTGGAGCAGATTTTTGGTAGGATGTAGATAATGTATATAGTTAGAACTTTTGGAGCAGGCAAATTGTAATAGTGAAGTTTGGGTGTAAATATGAACTTTGAAGCTAATCATCAGTAATATATTTACATTTTACCAAAAAGAAAGTATCTTTTACGTGGATTAATGCATGTGTAACTCAAGGCTTCCTTAGTTTTCATTATTTCTTGCATATATTCCTCGATTTAGAGCCGAATTGAAAACCTTTCATTTAGAAAATAAACAGAAGGGGGCATTTACATGCCTCCCTGGGTTTCAGCGAATATATGGTTGATTTGTTCATTTTTTTTCTATTCTCCGAATTTTCCATTAAATTTGAAGAACACTGGAGATGCTCAAAAGTCAACTTAATCGATTCAGGAAGTCTCCTTCAAGATTAATGTAATAGTAAATGTTACACACTTTCGTCGCATTCGTAATACACATTTTGAAACAAAAATTTAGTTTAAAATCGAACCTTATTGATAGACCAGAAGGAGTATGAACTAAAAAAGAAAGGTAATTAATTTTCCTTAATTCATTGTAGAAATCGATGTATAGTGTTATAATGTTTGTATCGATGCCCCAACGTCCTTGCTTCGAAAAACATGGAAACTATCACTTTCATGTATATAATGGGGAATGTCGATTTGTATAAACTGTAATTTCATAAAATTCTTAATGTAAGAGTCGAATTATAACTATTTTTTTCAATCAAAACTTGGAAAGGATTAATTCAAACTGGATAGACCTTCTGTAAACTAGTTCTTGCATTTTTTTTTTTTGTAGGGAAGTACATTCATTTCCTGTCTATATATATATATATATATATATATATATTTTGGGTAAGATAATACCAATACTTAAGGGAAATGTCTAGTAGTTGCTGCCCTTTTTATGAGAAAAGGGAAAAAAAAAAAAAACAAGCAAGTTCTATTGCAGAACTGAAACATAAGTCTTTCACTTTGAATCATTTTTCACCTTTTTTTGAAATTTTTTATTAACATATTCTTCATTTTAGCATATTACACTTTTCATTTTTTTAAATGTAAATTTAATTTTTTGGGTTTATATTTACAACACTTACAATTTCTTTCACGTAACATATGTTAGAACTAAAGCTTCACTTTTTTTCAGGTTAAAGTCTATTCATTCCTTAAAAAATATATAAATTACATTAAGATTTCCGAAAACAAATATAATGTTGATGGAAAAAATTAAATTTTTAAATAAAAATTAGCTACATTAAAAATATGATTTATAGTAGATATATATTAACACAAATTACTAAGTCAAGATAATGTAATTGGAACTTATAACACAAAGTGTAACAAGAAAATGTTACAGAAAAATTATTTTTTCTTAAACATTTCTAATACACCCTTATACGTTCCCCAAACTAAAATGATCCAAACAGGCCCTTTCAGAAGCCGATGTGTAACACACACATATATGCACACACGAAAAGAAATGGGAAGAAAAGCTGATGGACTGTAAAAAATTTAAGTGTGCTTAAAGGTACTATATATTTCGAGCAAACTATAGTAATACAGAATCT